AGAGAGAAAGAGAGAGAGAGTAAGAGAGAGAGAGAGAAAGGGGGGGTAGATAGATCAAAGACGGTGCACGTACTTATGCACGCATGATGTTGGCGGTGAACTTTTCTGTTTTTTTCAAGCTCAACAATTTTTGCTCGTGATGTAGATAACGAAGCTAATTCGAAGTTTGGCTTACGTCACTGGTGCAGAGAGAGAGAGAGAGAGAGAGAGAGAGAGAGAGAGAGAGAGAGAGAGAGAGAGAGAGAGAGATATCAGATGGCCGGCCTCTTGGTGTCAATAAAATGTCGTTTCCTATCCCAGTAGACCCACTCGTCTGACCTCGTGACTCGGAGATATAAGCAGGTTTTTGGAGGGCCTCTCTGCGGTCCCCAAGTACATAGTTGAAACTTTTCTAGTGATAAGTAATTAACTCTTTATCGGCTTGAGGTTTTGAAACGATGGTGTTGGAGTTTTTCCCCTTGATAAAATTCTGATCAAGGGTGTCACACACTCAAAAAAGCGATATTTAGATAAAATACGCTGACATGAAATATAGTTGTAGCATACACCAAGGAAGTACATAGTTGAAAGTTTTGAAGTGATGATTAAATTGTCGCTTTTAAGGACAAGCGGGCTGACCTAGATTTCGGGGGTTTCCAGTAATCTTGACCTACACCAAAAGTGGGCATTGTCCTACCTATAGGAGGCGTTTGGTTTCATTGGTGTGTATATTTTTTGGGTTACAGAAAAAAAAAACACTACTCTCGTTGACTTTTAAAGAAACTGAGCGAGGGTCCAAAAACGTTACCTTCGATTTTCTCAAAACAACATTTTTCGGGATAGCCCCCTAGTGCTTAAAAGCGACCAATTAATGGTCGTATCCCTTTTTTGGGTCATGTTCATGGGCTGTGGACTTAACCCCCCCCCCCCTGTTCTTTAAAAAAATCAAAATCCTTCTTCTCGAAAACTATTTTTCTTGCGCAATGCTTTGTCAGAAGGATTTTATGTTTTCTCCTTTATAAGATAAGATACTTCTTTATTCATGTATCTTAGTCTTTCTGCAGGGATGTTGTATCCCTCTCAACCCGGTCTGGCCGTAGCAGGCAGGGTTGGAAATCTGTCTTCTAATTTAATGATGGAAATTGTGTCGATGGGGGCCGTAACGTCACCTACTTTTTCTGTTCTTTTCTGTACATTTCTTGTTCTTTTCCTCTCTTCTCTTTTCTCTTCTTTTCTTTTTCTGTTTTGCCTATTCTTTCTTTCTTTTTTTTCTTTTGCTTTCTTTTCTTTCTCTGTTTTTGCTTTTTTCTCTTTTTTCTCTTTTCTTTCTTTTGTTCTTTTTCCCCCCTCGACTTTTACATTTCCAATGAATCAGATGACACTGTATGAGCCAGGTCGTGCACCGGGTAGAAGACCGACGTACGTACAGTTTGTGTTCCCTTTTCTCTTGGCGGCGGGTCCCCCCCCCTCCCCCTGTGTGGTC